TGCGGAATTTCGCATCGAACAAGGGGGACTGGGTTTCGATGGACTTTTGGTCCTTCTTCCCTTTGTCCTTGTTTTCCTTGGGTACTTTGGTGTATTTCCCCAAGGCATCTTTTCTTGGTGCTTCCACCAAGGCTTTGGCGATTTTTTCGTCTGCCATGTTTTCTAACTGGTGTGCTACCACCAGTTTGATTTTATAATTTATGTCATCGTGGTCGACGACTGACATTGGGCCCATTCTTATGGTCCCAACGTTGACTTCCTCACCCTCTGAGTCGGGTGAGTATTGAGGTCCTTCGTATGGGTCCTCTACTTCGAAGCTTGATGCTTCGGAGTTGCCAGAGTTGTTCTCTGGTTTCTCATCTGATGAGTCTTTTGACTCTTCATCCGTTGAGTTCGCGATTTCCATGGCAGCTATGCGCCTTGGTTTTTCATCGCTCGTTATATTGTGTCTTGGGCAATCTTTCGTTTGCCCTATTTTGCCGCATTTGCCGCAAATTGGAACTGACTTTTGGTCAGTTTTCCTCGAGTTTTTCGAGGGTGTGTCCTCTTTCCATCTGGGTTTCGGCTCTTCCGCCTTCTTTCCTGATGGGAGGGCTCTGCTGCAGCTCGTGGTTGCCATGGTAGTTGTTCGGGTATAGTAACCTGATTTGTAGGCTGAAGACATCTTCAGCCCGTCGATTATCTCGTCTACACGAGATATTGCTTTTAACATCTCCTTGTTTGAGGAGAAGTCTGCTCTGATTCTATCATGAGCAATCATTTCCCTCTTCCATTTGAGGGGAATGTAGTTTAGGAACCTGGTGTTGAAAGATGCCTGGTCTGGCAGCGTCACCATCTGGGATGCTGCTTTTGACAGTTCTAAGTAGAACTGTTTTAGGCCTTTTTCCGCTTCGTATTTGACGTTGCGGTATTTCTTTGTCGCGTTCAACGCGGCGGAGGCTTTGATGAAGGTTCTCATCAATATGTTGAGAACTTCGAGGAACATGCCCTCATCTCCTCTGAGGAGAGTTTCGTCTCGGAGTCTAATTCCGAGGTCAAACGCGGGCCCCCCTAATCCACAAATCAAGCAGTCCAGGTGGACTTCGTCAAATTGGGGACCTTTGCATCCTCGCGAGGCGAGGAATCCCAGTAGTTCTGTGAACCACTGCCAGAACGATTCCATGTCATTCTCCCCTGACCATTTCTTGTCAGGGAATGCCAGCCCATTCTTTAGGGCTTCTGGTTTCACTCCTTCTGGGTAGGGAGTGAGTATTCTCACTTCGGCCATTCTTATGGCCTTTTCGTACCATTTCTCCAGGTACTCTTCTTGCTCCCCTGCCTTTGCGGGGTCGCTATCCAATGGAGATCTCTCCTTTGGGGGGGTTTTTGCTGGGGGAAATCTTCCTCGCAGCGTTTCTTTGGTTTCAGGCATATTCGCCTGAAGTTGTATTTGTATTCTCTCATTGTTTTGAGAGGGTGTGAATGAGTTACCTCTCTGTTCGAGAGGTCCGTCATAAGTGGATGTTTGGCCGAACCTTTGGTACGTGCCAATTCTCCTTCTAATTTCTGAACGATGCCTTCTTTCGGCATTGTCTTCTCCTATCCTTGGGAGAAGGATCTCCTTAGCGTCTCTGTCGAGTCGCTGATGATATTCCAGTGTGCTTTCACTGGTAGTTCTTTTCGTGAATTTTTCACGAGTTCTATTTATGTCCTGGACCGTGGTCCAGGGGTGTTTATTTGTTTCCTCACTTTTTTGTGAGAAATTTATTTCCTTCAGCAAATCTGTTTGTTCACTGATTTTTTCAGTCAACGCGTCGATTGCGTTGGCCATTCTTTCTAGAGTTATCTCTAGACGAGCTGTGCTATTATGGTTCGTTTCCTCGATCTTTTTTTGGATCGAGTTTATCGTGTTTATTATGCGCGATTCCTGGTTTTCCAGGAGGAAGTTTGGTTGGGCAAGCAGCGACTCTCCCCAGTTGACATTTCTGCTTCTGGGGGTTCCAGAATGGGTTCTTGGAGTGAACACTCCACGCTCGCTTTGTTTAGGCGAGGCCGTTGCGGAGGGTGCTTCCCTTTCATAGAGGGGTCTGTTCGCTGGTTTCTCCTTACTTTTACGTAAGGCTTCCTCCACGAACTCCCTCATTTCAGTTCGCCTCCTCATCATTATCTCAGAGACCTCCTCCGAAGTTGGCGACCTTGCCTTGTCTGGCATGGTGTGTGGGAGTGTAAACAGCGGAAGTTCTTTTGGAGCTTCTGCGCTCTGGGAGATCCTGCTCTCAGGGCGTATTTTCGTGCCTTCTCGGGCTTTCAGCCTGAGAAGAAGTTGATCTTCACTTTCTATCCTCCATTCAGATGGAACCTGGAACAAGTCCAGTAGTTTTTCGGATAGCCGACACGGGGGCTCTTCCCTTTGTTTCCCTTTGTCTGCCTTTGGGGCTTGGCTTGGGGACATGAGGGGGGACTCCAGGGGATAGTGGGGCCCTGGAGTTTCCTGCGACTCTATCTGATCAGCTTTTTGGGCTGATCGTTCAGCGCTTACGCATTTTTCGTGCAAGTCAATCACCTCGTGAGGAGGTGATGGATCTTCCCCAGCTTGGGTTAGATCGGTATGTTGTGGAGTTCTGGGGGTATTTCGCCCCGCACTTACTCCACGTAAGTTTCTAGAACCTTCAGGGACCAGCCCTGAAGTGGTTGCTAATGCCGGATCATGTTGATCCTCGTCATCATCTGATGACGGCTTTTGGTTTGAATCTCCCTTGATGGGAGATTGCGGTTTCTTTATAAACCGCTCATTTCTTTTTAGTGTCGCTGCAGATGCGACCTTGCCCTTGCGGGCGTGTTTAGGCGCCATAGGCGCTTCCGAGTCAGATGTTAAGATTGTGTAGTTGTGGGTTGTGTTGTAAAACACACCTCATGCACTTAAAAAAGTGTGAGGTCTTAGGGTTGCTCAGCACACAAGGCTGTAAGTGATACAAGATAGTGTATTTTATGGTGGTGTGTAAGCGGTTACCCGGAGGTTCCTGCTTGCCCACGTGACTATGTGTATCTAATTTACATGTGACTCGGGGTTCAGGGCTATTGCCCTGACAGCGGCTTAAGGGGGGGGTGATGTCAGGGCATGCTGCTGCCACCGCCGCAGCCACCACCTCCTTTTCCTTTTGTCTCATCCTCTCATTCTCTCTTCTTTCCTTCTTCTCTTTTTCTATCTTTATACAGACGACCTCTCTTTCTTTCCTACCCTTGTAGCACAGATGCGTCCAACGCTGAGCACCCCGTAGGGGCACCACAACGCTGGATGCACTGTGCACTTCTACTTGTACTTCCCCTCCAACACTTGGGATCGACTGCAGAACCACCCGCAGTAACCCGGCTTCATCCGAGGGTGACGTGGCAACTGTCATATCCATCCCCGGCCATTGACTTCCGGTCCCTCCGATCCCTCCGTTCCAACTCCGCTCCTCCCTCACTAACCTCGGAGCCCCCGTATTCCGCAATCCTCTCGGCACCCCTCGATGGTCACCACCCCCTCATTTCAATTTATTACCTACGCCTCCCTAAGTACGGAGCCCCGAAGACTTCCGGACAGCTCCGACGTCCGCTAGCGCACCCCCGCCTCCGCTGGGCAATACACTCGCCTGCCCTGCAGAGCCCACCTTCGGGCCTATCCCTCCTTTCCGTTTCTGGGTTAACGCCTGCCTTTCCACTAACCCCGCGAACCGACTCGTCGGTAATATTCAGTCGGCTAATGTTTAAACCCCATTAGCTCCGCCCCGTTCGGCTCCGCCAATTGCGGACCCGTCCCCGCTGTAACCATATATATATATCCCACTTGTACATAGGTTACGCCCCAGTAGAAAAATCAACTAGAGTTACCCCCCCTAGGTTCTAATTGCCAGTCAGTAAGTTAGGGCACGGACGTGTCACTAGGCACAGCGCTCTTGGCAGAAGTCGCTGAGGCCGAAGCCCTCCGTTACGGAGACATTCCTTCGTCTCGAATCTGGTCTCTGACAGCAACCCCATTCACACATGTATATAAACTAAGCCGAAGCAGGACCGAAGAAGTAACCTTCTTCTCATTTCCCGCTTCAGGCAAGTACCCTAGTTTAGTCTGGCTTCCCACCCTAATAACAATACATTTCCCGCTTCAGCCTAAGAAGCCACACAGGGACGTAAGCCCGAGTAAGGGCTGTCCACTATATGGTCTCACCGCCCCGCTGCCATCCGGGCCGCTAGCGCCGAGCGTTATGCCACTACCTCTGCCTTCCTCGAGCCGTCCCTGACACCTCCTCCTATTTTCCTCATCTTCCCACATGCCCCCTGTATTTTTATATAATTTCTATGTGTACACACAGCTACAAGCCCACATGCAAACCTGTGGGAAAACTCACATGACAAATGCTGAAAGGCACTAGTGTGCAACCTCTTCCAGACATTGCTGGGCTGACCGAGTTTACTTGGTTACACCATGTGACTTGTTCCCACAAGTTACACTTTCTTCTTATTTTGGTCATTTCAGACTTATCTGCAAAGATGACACATTCTTTTGAATTGGTTTCTTTTCCCTCAGTTCTCATGCATATAGCTTGAGACTGAGGTTAGTTACAACCTTCCTTTCCTCTTATTTCTTCTGCCCCTGAGTGGAGGCTGAGCCTGGTCATTGCATATCACAGCTTTCAATGTGATGATGATAGGGGAAATCTGTCCAGGAAGAGGTCAAGAGGGACTTCCCCAGTGGATGTTGAGTTGGAGGATGATGACTCAGTCAAGCCTGAAAAAGACCCAGGAAGGGCACTGCACCCAAGCAAGCAGTGCAGCCACAGGTAAAGGATATACTAAATTGGAACCAGCCACTTATTCAGCATTCATTTTAGAAAAAGAAGGGAAGAGGGTCAAAGAAGGCCACTGCACTGCAAAGGACACTGCAGCCCTGGATGAGAAATGATGTGCTAAATTACAAATAACCACTCATTCAATATTTGTTTCAGAACAAGAAGCGATCCAGATTTATACCCTCCAAGAGAATGGAAGCTTCCTCAGAGTCATCTTCTGATGAGCCTTCTGTTCCCAGGAGGCAACAAGTTTCCAGTGGGCAGCAAGTTTCTGGTGCTATGGAGCTGGATGTTTCAGCAGCCACTATGGTAAGCCCCCTAATTTGTGCTTATATAATGATTCTGAATGATTCCCCAGTCAACACTTGGGCTGAAAAGGTTCTAGGCTTTTGCTGGTTTGGTAAGATGTTGTTATCATAGGCATGATATATTGGTAAACATGTCCAGTAGCCCAACCTAGGCACAAAGACAGCAATCACAGTGGCAAGAGGGGAGGATTATGTCAAGGACCTCCATCATTTTGTTAGGAGATCATCTATGCCCAACCTCCAGACCTTGGAGAAGGGGGAGCTCTGAAGACTTAGAGACTCAGAGCTGGAGGAATTCCACAAGGTCCTCAGAGCCTCATTCCTTGTCAATGATACAGGGGAAGCAGTGGCATTTCAGCTTCCTGCAGTGCTTGAGGCAATTGAAGTTGATGCCTCCACCCATGTGGAAGCGCATGGTGAGTGGGATGTTGAATGGAACTACCAATAGGCTCATATGACACATATAGACATGGATGCTGAGGAGCCAGATTCAGGCATATTCGTGCAACTACCATCTCAGTTGCATTTTCTGAAATGGAGAACCTGATGGGAGGGAACCTCAATTTGTTGCCTTTGCCCAGCATGAGGAGCCCACCCTTGGGAAGTGTGAGCAGGTGCATGCAAGTGGCTAGGTTTTTTGTATACTTGAGCTGACTCTAATTTTAGGGTTCTTGCAGATGACTACATCGCCATAAACTCTACATCATCCAGCCCCTGCATGAAGGGGAAATCTCTACTGGTGCCCTCCAGTGGTTGGTCCACCCTATCATCATGTGGGACTAGCCACCCTCCCCATATAGATGGTATGGGCAGTCCTGAGGGTGGTTTTGGGGGCCAAGTGGATTGTTTTGAGCAATGGGGATTCAGAGCTCTTCAACAGGCCAGATGCCCCTGAAGATTTGTTCCATTTGGCCTATGAGGGTGATCCATCAATGCAGTTAATATTGCTAACACCTGGGATTTCTCTGTGAGTCCCTTTGTTGTGCATGGAATAATTACAACCCTACTAATAGAATCCCTGGCACATGTAGCATCCTGCCACCAGGGACCCCACATGCAGTGCTTTCTGTAACTGACATGTCATCATGCAGAAGCTCATTGGAAAGGGGTGATGGATCTCTCAAAGAATTAACCAAAACCAAACAAAGCATGATCAGTATCTCAAGGCAAATGTGGCACCAGTCAAGTTGTTCAGGGCAAGACCCCAGTTGATTCCCTCTTATTCCTTGTCAAGGTCAACTGCCTTACCTTTCTGTTTTTAGACGAGAATCCCAGGAGGCACACGAAGAGCGTCTAAAGGGTATTGATGACCCTCAGGTGCGAGAGATTGTCAAGGCGGCCAAGAAGGAAGCAGACCTTAATATTTTTAATGCAATGAAAAACACAAGTATGTCCTTTATAAGCGGTGGTTCCATTCCCTATCTTAACCCACAAAAAGTCAAACTCAATATGAAGTATGCCAATGTGGCACGGCATAATGACAAGGCTAATGCACCTGCAAAAAGCCAGACACACCCAAGGCATCTTGATTTCCCTCCACTCACCAAGGATCAAACCCAGATCCTACTCGACAGTGAGGATGGCACAGCTATCGAGGATTGGTTAGGGAACCTGCTGGCCATATGGCTCCCAAGGGTTTTTAACCCAATCCATGTATGTTCTCATGTCCTCAGCTAGTGAGCTCACCTGATTCCTCCTAGAAGGATATCTTGAATGCTGGTCATGATTTCAATCAAAACTTTAAATTTGACAATAAGAAATCCAGAACAGCTTTCAAAGATACAGCATCAAATCTCTTCAAGAAGAACAGTGCAGCTTATCATGCCTATTGGCACCTCCAGGGTCACTTGGTTAGCGTTTTGATTTTGATTATTCAAATTAATCCCATAGGAGAACCCTCCTGCAATCTCCACAGATTCCACCCAGAAAGAGCCTCTATATCATGTCCTCAACATGTACACTGAGAGGCTTGCACTGTCGTTGGCAAGACAGTGTGATGCTGTATGGGAGCACATCAGAGAGCATTTGGATTGGAGGGTTGGCTGTTGGAAATGAGGTCCCATTTCTTTGGCCAAGGTGTCCATTTCAACGCAGATATCAGGTCTCACAAGGATTGGAGATCCACCTGGTGTGGTTTCGATGCAATAGCCATCTTTGGGGAATACGAGGGAGGGGAGCTTTCCTTCCTGGAGTTGGGCTACGCTTTCCCAACCTGTCCTGGGGATCTCTTCTTTATCCGGGGTGCAGGATTGGAGCATGAGGCTCCTGGCTGGAGTGGTCAAGGGTGGATGGTGTTTGCATTTTTTGCTGACAGACATGTTTTTGCATATGTGAAAGTTGAAAGACCCAGGGACCTTGGCCCCCTCTATGGGATGGCTCAGGGAATGTTCTGCAAGAAGCATCCTTGCCATGATGGGTAACTATAATTATTCTTGCCCCCAATCAATATAAAGTATCTGTAGCAAGCAACAACAACTTGGAAGATCCTACTATCGCTTCCTATCCCCACCAATCCCTGCATACCGTCTGTGTCGCTCAAATGTAATATACATGCTTGCTGAACATAAAATCCTTGGTGAATACACAACTAATGTTGGGATTCGTCATAACATTAAGATGATATATTATAGATACAATCACAGCTTTGTCAGGACAAGATTTTATGACATGATTTTGGACAAATACATGACGAAAAAAGATTTATCACATAGATGTGGTGAAGGGAGGGACTGCAGTGCAAGGTGTAAACATGATGCTTGTTAACCTAGAAATAAGACAATCAGCAACATGACGAATGATTGTTCTTTCCTCCCCTCTGACCTGAACTCCTCAGCTTGCATATCTTGTTTTTGCTGCACATCTGGGCCCAAGCTCCTTAGGCTTGCATGCTTTCATCCATGTTGTGGGCTATCGCTGTAAAGCGTACTAATTTATAGGCACTAAAGACAGGGCAGAACACCAAGTACCTTTCTCTTATCTTGTACCAGCATATTTGTCATGGCACTTTTGCAAACCTTTGCCACTGTACTCAACCTCATTCTCAACGAGGGCCACAGTTTTTTTGGAAGCAGGCACGCTATTCAAAAATGAGTATGTTGCAAAAGCGCTGCAGATGTTACATGCATTATGGCAGCTTGTGGGGCATTGGCAGCTGGTAGTGTTTCTGGAGGTGAAACTTTCAGGTAGTCATAATTGGATGCCAGGCAGTGCGCTGTAGGAATATAAAAGTTACAACACTAAAACAACCAGAAACCATCACAGAAAATTGGATAAAAATCATACAACCTCCATGGACCAGAAATAAAAATAGAATAAAGTCATAACTCAACAAAATGAATTGAAATAAATTACCGGAAAAATACTGAAGAACAGAGTCAATGGGATGAGTATCTATGTGAACTTTCATGTCTAGGGATTAAAAGATGGTTCAGAAAATGAAGAAAAACAGCAAATAAACTCACATGAAAACAAAAACAAGGTTTCCTGTATCAGATAAAATACGTGGTAACGTGGGAAAATAGTTTTATGAACGTACGAAACGAATGACAAAGAGAAAATTAAGGAATTCACATAATGAAAAATGGTCGGGTACAAGGAAAAGATGAAAGAATTGGAAATATCTATACGAGGAAAATAGGGAAAAATATGAATCTTTGTCGGTCTTAAAGAGTTGAAGTATAGGTCTGTGTACAAAAAGATTTCATGTTAAAATCTGAAGGATTGAGAGAGAAACGGATTTAACAAGATTAAAACACACTTGCAGAGAAGACTGGCTCAAACATCCTGAGTTTGTGGTAGAAACGGATGAGCTAGAAATGCGAAACTAAAGAGTTCGAGTCCAGGAACAAGGCATAATTTATCCAGAATTAATCATAAGAAAATGGATGAGCTAAAATCAAAGCAATCTGGAGAACCTCGAAATTAAATCTTGAAAAATTCATATCTTCATAAATAATCCTCCTAGTTTACTGTTGTTTATACTGACGGAAAGCTACACTCTTAAGCTAACAAATAACCCCATGACATGTGACTTAGAATAAAGTGAGTAAACAAGGGTAAACAAGGTCAGGACAGGTGTTAGACAGTGCAATCAGTTGATTCCCACACCAAAACTTCCAGAAAGTTCTAGAAGCAGAATGGGATGCTGATCGCTTACATAAGAGGATTACTAAGCTCAATATAAGATTACTCAGCAATGTAAATAGTAAAGTGACATGTGAAAACAGAGCCCTTAGGAAAGGTATAAAAGACTGCATTTTCTGGTCTGACCCCTCTTCCTTCTTTACTCCTCTCCCCTATGTGCTCTGGCTCATAGGTCACAAGGTGTCCTAATAAAAATTATGTTTCATTAGTATAAGTGTGCAGTTCAGATCACATCTGAGTAAAAGTGATCAACCCTCAGTAAAAAGTTAAGAAGAAGTTAAGAAATAGTGACGTTGAGTCAAGTTGGTTGGAGTCGCTCCAAGTTAAAAGTGACAAGACAGAGGTGAAACAACTAAAAATAGTAGGTCTATAGCGTGATTTTCATGTGGAACAATCAGGTAGACAAGTGAGTTGAACCCTGAGAGTTACATACACACACAAACAATTAGTAACACATACAAATATCAATACACAAAGCAACCAAAATGCTACAGTGGTTGAGTTAAAGTACCAATACTAACATAGAAGTATCAGAAGAAAGAACAGCCTTTTATAGGATTTCTGTTCTCCTTCAGTGCTAAGTGACAGAACTTGGAAGGGGTGAAGACCATTCGTTTTGAATCAGAAGCAAATGGCAAGACTAGTTGGGAAGCCATTACTGAAAAGGTCCAAGGATCAATTATCGACAGAAAAAGCCTATCACCTCTCTTTGGTGAAAAACTCACTTGAAAGTCACTGGCTCTTTGCACGCAGTGCCATCAATTGTGTCAGACACTACAGACAAGATCAGTGCATATGCTGTATGCCACTTTGGCACACAAGTTGCTATGTAAGAAACTGGTGGTGTTGTACACAACATAGTAAAAGGAAATACTCACAATGATGATCCTATGATGGCTTTGGAGAGTTGGACAGTAGGCCACCATCATCAAGCCCTGCATTCCATATTTGAAGCATAACAATGAAGTCCGATAGGAAACTGTCAGGGACAGCTCCAAAAGCGGTGAGGTCCCGGCGTGCAGGACTCGGTGGGATGAGTAGCGGCTGTGTGTAGTGGCGATCTCGTCGCAGGGTGAGCATCCCCGACCACTTAGTCTGAAGTGGGAATGTGAGAAGGCTACTTCTTCGGTTCCCACTCCAGCTGTTATTATATACATGCGGGATCGGTCACGTGGGGCATGCCACGTCACCCTCGCACACAGCCACAGCTCTCCAGGTGCCTCTGCAGGAGATCCCAAGAGGGCCCGCTGTGGGTGCGGGGCGAGTGTGGCGGCAGTGGCGGCGATATAGGAACGGTGAGATACAGGAGGGGAAATGGGCATGTGCGCCGGTGATACATTGAGCAGCAGGAAAGGTGGTCCATGTGAGAAAGAAAGAAAGAAAGAAAGAAAGAAAGGAAGAAAGGGGGAAAGGAGAAAGGAAGAGGGAGAAGCGGTGCAGAGCGGGGGAGCAGAGCGAGGGTCGGGTGGGGCGTGCCCTGACAGAAACCAGTCGAACTAAGCAAGGACACAACGTAAACAAAGGTTTAGACAAGAGATTGTTACACTGAGCTAATAGAGAGGACCATGATGGACACCACAAAGACCAGGAAGGGCCACAGGCACCATGGCACATGACCATAACATCCCAAGTGCCCCCTTTTATTGGGCTCTGACACATAATCAACAAGCTACACTCCCCCTCCCACTGTCAGAGACCAGACTTGAGACGAAAGAATGTCTCCGTAATGGAGGGCTTCGGCCTCAGCGACTTCTGCCAGGAGCGCTGTGCCTAGTGACACGTCCGTGCCCTAACTTACTGACTGGCAATTAGAACCTAGGGGGGAACTCTAGTTGATTTTTCTACTGGGGCGTAACCTATGTACAAGTGGGATATATATATGGTTACAGCGGAGACGGTTCCACAATTGGCAGAGCCGAACGGAGCGGAGCTAACGGGGTTTAACCATTAGCCGACTGAATATTACCGACGAGTCGGTTCACGGGGTTAGCGGAAAGGCAGGCGATAACCCAGAAACGGAAAGGAGGGATAAGCCCGAAGGTGGACTCTGCAGGGCAGGTGAGTGTATTGCTCAGCGGAGGCGGGGGTGCGCTAGCGGACGTCGGAGCTGTCCAGAAGTCTTCGGGGCTCCGTACTTAGGGAGGCGTAGGTAATAAATTGGAATGGGGGGGTGGTGACCATCGAGGGGTACTGAGAGGATTGCGGAATAACGGGGGCTCCGAGGTTAGTGAGGGAGGAGCGGAGTTGGAACGGAGGAATCGGAGGGACCGGAAGTCGATGGCCGGGAATGGATATGACACCCACCTTCCAACTTTACTCTTCCATGGGTCACCAGAAAAATAATCAAAATGAGAGAGAGAAATCAAACAAAAAAAGTGGACAAGTTGGCGCTTCTGCCTTAGGCAGCATGCCTAGATAGACTTCCACCTGGGACTTTGTTCACCTTGAGGGATTATGCTCTGATCCCCATGTGCCAAAGTGTCATGATCCCAGGGAGCATTGGAAGTGCAGAAGGAAGGAAAGATGAAACGAGCAGAAATGGAAAGCTGCAGAACGTAAGATGTACCCTCTCCCCAATGGATAAGCGCTGAGATCAATGGATCTACATACAGTCTTTTCTTGTAATTTTAGACAGGTCAGCTAACTTGCCAACAAACCAATGTACTGTCAGGGGACGACTCCCAGGTCCCCATGACCTTCCCCTATGGTCCACAGCCTACTGGTGTAACCAGCCCTATCCAGGGCACAACCCACTGTGGGTAAGAAGATGAGAAGGAGCTAACTTGAGAAGGAAGCTAACTTCTCATCTTCCCACAGTGGCCACCATATCAGGAAAACTTCTGGGGATACCTGGAAGTCACATGAAGGGGTAGGAACTGGGCCTGGAGCATGTGGTGCATGGAGTGTGCATGTGTGCAGGAAGCACAGTGGGTGGAAGCAGGTCCGGATGCAGGTCTGGGTCCAGGCTAGTCAGGGTGTGTGCCCTGACATGTACACACCTAGAAGCCAACCTCAAAGTTGGCCCTCAATGCCATCACAAAGTGGAGGGAACTATGGGATGGTGCAGGGTTACCAATTATGCTGGCTGGGTTGCAAGAGCTGACTAATGGTCCCCAGGTATGTACAGCCATTCTTGGGCAGGCTAGAGAGCCTGGGATTGCTAGGCAGCAGAAGAGCAGGCCCACCCTTCCACCATCCCAATCCATATTCCTGCACCCAAGAGAAAAAATATAGAAAATATAGGGTTATGGCAGTTCCAGGGCCGGGGTCGGACAAG